AATGCCAATTGTTTATCAATAGAGTAACCGTCTAATAATTGTTTCCAATAATGTTTAGCGTCTTGCATATCCATTTGTCGTTCATGTATACTATAATCAATATATTGTAATGAATTATCGATGCTACCAACATCGGATTCATTCACCTTTGGCAACAATTTCATCTGATCTGGCAACAATATGGATAATTCACTCAACGAATGTCTTGTACGATCGAATGAAGACGACGGCGAAAATAATTGTTCTAATAATATCTGGAATTTTTGCATCATTCTTTTTATTGTCTGTTCTTTAAACAAATCACAGGCGTACGCAAATGAACAAGATAGACGATGTTTTCGAACATCATGGTTTACAGTGAATGTCAAATCAAATCTCGCAGCAGTTTGCTCGGTTGCATCTTCACATTGAATGATGGAGCATTTGCCTTCGTCGAAATTTAAAACATTCGGCGAGCTATAGTCACGAGTTTCATAAACAAATAATGTTTGTAGAAATGGTAAGTGTTGTGTAGTGGTTGATGCTCTGGCTCTATACAATTTCAGTATATCTTGTAATGGTAGATATGAATATTGCAATACTGATAAACATAACTGATGGATTTTAAGCAGCAAATCTTTGAATGTTATGTGTGAATCTATCTTTGAACAGTAAGGTAGCGTGTTAACAAACATACCAATCATACCTTGCACATTATCAAGACTTGTATTCGGCACACCGATACAGATATCATTATTATTCGTCAATTTATGCAAATACAGCATATAAGTTGTTACCAACAATTGAAACATAGAAATATTGTTTTCATTTGCAAACACATTCATTCTGTCAACAATCGTATCCTGCACGAAAAACCGAATATTTGAACCGCGGCCACTTCGCGTGTGATTCAGCTTCTCGTAATGATCATAGGGAAGTAACAGTTGCTTATAAATATCATAATCTGATAACATCATGTTCCAACATTTTATCGCTTCTTTCATTGTGGAATCAGATGAATTATCATCAAGCATTTGTCTTTCATAAATAGCATAATCAATATACTGTAACTTATCGTCATTATCATTTGAGAAATTATCATTGTAAATATCTTGCAAATCACTTAAAAATAGTTTCACAGAGTTACCGTCAAATGCAGAATGATGGAAATTGAATATAATCGCATCATCTTTCACCAAGATATCATTGTTGTTCAGTTTATGTTTTACAATATGACAACGAAATACAATACCTGTTTCTAAGCAAAACCAATGTCTATTCACTTCTGCTATTAGAATTGTATTAAATTCTTGTTCATTAGACCCTACACTCATTTCGAATGAGTAATAGTCATCATGATTCGATGTTAAAACTTCATCAGGCATCGATTTAATGTACTGTTTTAAACATTTTTCCTCAGGTGAATATATCAGTTTTGTTCGTAATATCGAGTGTTTATGAATAATGGTCAATAGAGCATTACGTAAACGACTAATAGAGACGGGTCCTTCTATCACTTTGAGTATGATTGGAATGTTGTAAATGGCCAATTGATTATCTGAATCAAATCTGACTTGTTCATCAGTCCAGATACGTTCTTGAGCTGAAGATGCAACAGCTATAACACAGAGATGAAGGATTAAAGTAGCAAACATCACCTGAAACTGTATTTAGAATGCATTTTTTGGCAAAACTTCTAACGTAAGGTGCTGCAAATGAGGATCGAGCAAAAGAAAATTTCGCTCATGTACACATACATCAATAGAGATCATCGAGCTGATCGAGAATATCTGGTTTTTAGGTTGTAAAATGGAAGTTTTTAGTGGAAAACATTTAAAAAACTTTAATAACTTCAAATTTCAAAACGGTATTAAATTTAAAAACATTTAATAACTCTATTGGAAATTGTTTTGAAGTCCTAAAACACTATTCTTCGTATTTAGCTCCAAAAACTGGTCATAGACAAATAGGTTTTAGTGTTCCAGACCCAAATTTAACCTTCAGGTGGTGAATCAAACCTAGCGTCCTCAAAGTGTTTCTCAGTGATTTTGTAAACCTATCTAACTTTTTGTGTTAAGAGAAAAAGCCAACTTTTTTACGCCATGCGCTTCTCCGTCAAACGTACTTAGAGCTTTTTCCGAAATTCCTCTTCATGCTCAAGATATTTGGTTTTCATTTTCTGCACTTTTGACCAAAATCGGCCTGGTCTTTTCTATCTATATTGGTTAATTTTAAGTTAAATTTAATAAAACTTTGGTTTTATATCTCAAAAACTGCATAGAATTTAATGAAAATCCTTTTAACAATTCCTAAAGACCTCCTATTTGGCTTTGTAGAAAATCAGATCACTGGAAAACTATTCAAAACCAATCTTTCTCAAAATGATAGTCGATAGAAAAATGAACTTTATATGTTACACATACATAACCTATGACGACACCTCATGCATTAATTCAAGAATAGAAACATATCCAGAACATGATTCATAAGCTAGAATGGTATGTCAATTCTATTAAAGTAAATCTTAGTCAAAACCAAGGAAGGAAATTTTCAGATTATATACTGCAAAAGTTGTGCTACTTGCATTGAAAATTTATCAAATTTGACTATAGGTCATTGAAAGATCGACTTTTTCGTGCCATATTTCAAACGTTCATTGATATATGAATTATGTGCATAGTCTACTCACCTTCCGTGACATGAAATCTTTTCAGTTGATGCTTCACATCTGATCGTAGATTATTGTTATCTAATGACATGTTTGCTTGAACCAGCCGCGCATGTGCTTCAATGGTGGTCTGTTGAAATAATGTTGTTATATTTAGATTTGTACTCCTGATGCCAGAAAAATGTATTTTGTAATGATTTAATAATTTGATTAACAACAATGAAGTACCCCCGGCGGAAAAGAAGTTTTGTGTTAATGATATTTTATCTAAACCTAATGCTTCACACCATAGTCGATGAATTTCGACTTCTTCGACTGTTTTAGGCTCGATNAGCCGCGCATGTGCTTCAATGGTGGTCTGTTGAAATAATGTTGTTATATTTAGATTTGTACTCCTGATGCCAGAAAAATGTATTTTGTAATGATTTAATAATTTGATTAACAACAATGAAGTACCCCCGGCGGAAAAGAAGTTTTGTGTTAATGATATTTTATCTAAACCTAATGCTTCACACCATAGTCGATGAATTTCGACTTCTTCGACTGTTTTAGGCTCGATAAATTCTTCTGGTTCTTGTAATAATGAGAAATTTGGTTTTGGAAGTTGTTTTCGATCAACTTTTCTGTTCTCATTCAGTGGCAACCGATCTAAAAGAATGAAGATGGATGGTACCATGTATGTAGCAAGATATGATTGACAATATTGTTTCACGTGTGATTCTAACGAGCGATTTGTTGTGCTTATATAAGCAACTAGATAATCTTGTTTCGTTTTTTCATCATTGACTTTGATCACAATACAGTTTGAAATATCATTGGATGACTGAAGAATTATGCTCTCGATTTCACCCAATTCAAGTCGCTGTCCGTGAAGCTTCACTTGGAAGTTGTTTCGACCCAAAAAATAGAGTAAACCATCAGAGCCAACTTTCACTAAATCTCCCGTCCGATAACACTTTCTGTTTGTTATGCCTGGAATGTTACTAATCAACGCTTGTTTTGTTAAATCTGGGCGATTGAAATAATCATAACAAACGCCAGCACCTCCGATGTACAACTCTCCAATTGCATTCAAAACAACTGGCTGCAAATGTTCATCTAACACGTAACATTGATAATTGGGAAGAGGAAGACCAATGGGAATTGATGATTGACCATCTGATCTTTCTATTAAATGATACGTGGCTGTTATTGTTGTTTCAGCTGGGCCATAGGTGTTGTATATTTTACATTGTGAGCAAAGATGAGGTATCAGTTTTGCAATAACGTTTCTTTTCACAACATCACCTAAAGCAGATCAAGACTCAAGAAGACAAAGGATATTATACAAGCCCAAAACCATCTGAAAGTGATGGTGGCTATCATTATAAAACAACTCAAGTATATGGTGAAGCAGTATTAGTTTTTAAAATAATTTCCTAGTTATTTTTGTATTTCTACCTGCTTCCAGATGCTGCATGCGTGCACACACACAACTTCTAGAAAATCTCTAATTTTTTACATGTATGATTTGATGGAATCGGGAAATAGATGTAGATCACGATTAAAAGAATGAGCAAAAACTAAAACTTTAATAATCAGAAATTAAATCCAAAAACCGAACGCAGAGTAATTATAGTGATTTTGATTTTTGAAGAATCTAATGCAAAAGTTTCTGCTTAAATTTCTGCTAGTTACGTCCTGGCTCTTGCTGACATCGGTTCTTCACTAGAGAGCAAAGACTGTCTTGATTTATTTTGATGGTTGAAGCTGCGGCATCGGAATAAGAGATAAAATAGCGTCTGTAGCAGTTTCTTTTTACCAGATACCTTTTGTGAAAAGTAATCAATTACAAATTAAGTAATCGACTTATACATTTTTTATGCTACAAAGTGTGAAACCATCTGCTGATTCGAATGGTGCATAAATCAATTAATCAACTTCAAAAATAAAGGATTAATCAGCAGTAGTTTGATTAGAGGTAACTTCGTTCTCATTAGGAATACTTTCCTAATAAGAACGTCAAGCGGAGGAAAACCAAGCGATTTTTGAGAATTCAAAAAATGGTTTGATTTTCGCTCAGTTGAACATTTTTATATATGTTCTAAACCAAAATAATGAGTCCAAATCCTGGCTACGTTAATGAGATTATATGAACTTTTTATCCGACAGTGTCCTTTAGCTCTTAGCCCCTTTTTCTTGTTTCTTTCGAATTCAAACTTCTTTCTCTAATAAGTGACGTGTAATGTGTTCTCTTTGAAAGCATCAATATCAAAAAGGACACAGGATACATTACTTATTAGAGAAAGAAGTTTGAGTTCAAAAGAAACAAGAATAAGGTACTAACGAGGGAAGGCCACCAACTACCTTTTCGCTTTTGAGCTTAAACTCAGTTGACAATAGGTAATCGAACGTGCTGATTCCGAATATCACAATGGTTTTTGCCCGCTTCGATTTAAAGACCCGTTTTTTAAAGATCTTGGTTTTTCAATCGAAAAATCATTTTCACTAAAAAATTTCCTTGACCTGTCCAAATGAAAGAGCACATCGTCAAACCTACAGAAAACAATTTTTCAAGGTTCTAAGCGAGATTTTAAGCGAGTCTTCTGCGTCTGAAACTTAAAAAAAGAGGGAGAAACCGCTAATATTCTTACACAATTTACACAAGAAAAACTACTGTTTTTCTTTCTGTTCTGTTTTTTCACACATGTTATTAGCAATTTGTGATAAAGGTGGCAATAAAGCAGTTTCACAGAGCCATGATTCGTAAAAATATTTGCTGTGTTAAAAAGATCACACGTTTA